TTACCTATTATGTTGTAAAATCTTTAGGTGTACTCTATCTTTTCTAAATTCTTATTCAAGTACTAATTAATTGTATTTTTAATATAAATAAAAATTGTCAATTAAAATATTAAAAAATGTAGTTAAGAAATAAGAGTAAAATTGAATTATTATTATTTTAGCGTTGCCAAGAAGAAGCTAATAATGGAAAATTTAAATTACGAGATATCTTGTCTGTACCAATGCAAAGGATACTTAAATACCACTTATTATTAGATAAACTAATACATGATACTCCGCAGGTATTATAACCAACATTTATAATATGTTATATTTTATGTAAAATATTTATTATTATATGATTATAAATTAGACACATAAAGATCTTCCGGGATTAGAATGGGCAAAAGAGTGTATGGTAGACATAGCTCAATATATAAATGAAGTTAAGAGAGATAGTGATACTTTGCAAATCATGAATGATGTTCAGGTAATAATTATTAATATTGATTATTGTAAAAAAAGAATAGTAATATTATAAAATGTTTTGTAATAATTTGTAATAACAATAAAATTATAATTTTCCAGAAAAGTATTGTTGATTGGGATATTGTTGGAATGACGGAATTGAAAAACTATGGTCATTTAATTGCTGATGGTGAATTAAAAATAAAAGCCCATAATGATCAGAAATTAAAACCAAGGTATTTTAATTTGTTTAATTGATTTGAAATGTATAATTTTATTTAATATTGGTTTGATGTTGGAATTGTGCATGTTAGTATAGTACATGTTTGATGTTTAATGATTTTCTTTGCTTGATGTAGATATTTTATTATTTTATTTTTGTAGATATGTCTTCATTTTTGACCAAGTTGTGTTGATGTGCAAATCAATTAGAGTAAGTTAAATTTTTAACTTTACTTTATTCATGTGTTACTAAGGGTTATTGGGTTAATATAGTTACACTTATGCACTTTAGCACTCATATTGATTAATACTTAGGTATTTTTGTTTATTTAATTTTTTTTCATAAATATGTATATCGTATATGTATATTTAAGATAAAAATATTAAAATTGCATAATTTTTTTCTTCAATTATTAATGTTTATTTCTTTGTTTTATAAAAATAATTTGATAAAATACAAAATTTAAAGTCTTAATGTACCTAATGAATTTTGTTTGTTTTTAATAAAGTTTATTTTATTTAAACATATTTAGTTCATTGGTTTCCAGAGTGATCAATATTCTTTTAAGCAGTCACTTTTTATATCACAATATCGTCTAGAAGATTATACTAGCCGCAAATTCTTATATAGAGAAAATCGATGGTCCTATCAGTTTCACATGGTTCACAAGTCAGAAAGCACTGTGTATACATTTTATGCAAGATCTGAAGAACAAAAGATGAAATGGATGAAAGCTATTCAAGATGCCATGTAAGAAAACTATACATCCATTATCTATTATAAATATTAAAAAATACTAATAAATATGATTTATTTAATTCAATTTTAATTAATAACTTTCCTTGTATACATATTCTAGAGTAATAATTAGTTATCAATATTTTCCAATTTATACACTGAGTTTTTTAAATGTCATGTTAATTGATATGTTTTTATTAATTATTTATACAAATAAAAACTTTAATTTAGGGATAATATTGAGCCATCAGTATGCAATTTAACAAGTCACAAATTTGTAATGCAAACTTTTGACATACCAACGGTATGTTATCATTGTTCGAAATACTTGAAAGGCTGTATATTTCAGGTAAACTATTATTTAAATGTAATTGGTTTTATTGTTGGTACATTCTATATCTGAAAAATATTTTATTTTAATAGGGTTACAAATGTGAAGAATGTTTTATCAGTGTTCATAAATCATGCATACCAGAATCTGGGAGGTGTGGTTTAATTAGTCCACAATCTACTACCCTTCAAAACACAATGTTTTCAAATCGATTTCCAGCAGATCATTCTAATTTCAATCAACGACACAGAGTATGAATTTATATTGTCTTATATTTTGAATTAACTAAATCTTACTATGTAAATATGGTTATTTAGAAAAAAAAATTGCATTCACTCACAAAATATAATTAAGCTCAATTATTTCTAAACTCACATAACAAATATACAATAGAACCTCAATTATTGTCTGTTCCGGTTAACCGCAAGGTTTTTTTTATTAAATTAATCAACTTTTTCAAATAATAATTGTACATGGTAGGTTTTTATTTGTTTACGTTTTTGAGGATTACAAAGCTTGAGTAGGAGTGTACCATCTGGTTTCATATAATATGTAATAGTATTATGTTTATTGTACATTTTTAAACATAATATGAATGTAAGTATGTAGTAATTAGTAAATGAACTTATAATAGGTTTAAAAATATATTTATTAAATATAAACAAAAAACATAACATAAACAATAATTTTTATTGATTCTCATTTTAAAAAAAAAACTAAATATTCCTATTTACAAAAATACAATAACTTGTTAAAAAAAAATTTACTTCTTGTTTTAGTCACCAGATTGGACAAGAAATTGGTCAGACAATGATACTTTAACTGAACATTTGTGGTGAGTATTATAAAATAGTTATTACTTATTAAAAACTAAATACCCAGTAACCTGTAACTAAAGCAAGACTTTGGGAAATAATTTAGTTTTAATTTAAAAAAAATTATTACAAACATCAAAAGCAAAATATACAACTTACTGTGTATGCCGTATGGCTGTAAACTAATATAGCTATAAGTATTATGGACTTCTATAAATAAAATCAAAATTTCTTGTGTTTAGGATTTTGCGAATATTTTTTATCAGGGTAAGACTGTAGAATTCCATATTCAAAAGTATTTGAAGACTACCACTACAAAAAACTAATATAAAATACTTTTGATTAAAAAAATACATAAGGAATTTTGACATTTGTTTTCTACATTTATCTTGCACAGCCACATGTCCACATTTTGTACTTTTATGATTGTGACTGATGGAATTTAGTTACAAATCCATAATAAGTATACCCATATAATTGAGAAGAATACTCATGATTTTGTTGTTTGCATATTTTGACTGCTTACAAGGATACTAAAAAAATCAGTTAATTGAAGCCCTTGAAAATGTTCAGTAGATTCACTTAATAAGAGTCCACAATTATGGTAGTGCATAACATTATTCATAAATTGTGCATGAAATAGAACCAAAGAAAATAAATTAGTCCTGCTGCCCTAAAATTTTTCAATACTAATTATATTTTCTCTAATTTGGTTTTTACAAACACTGAGTATCCAAATTATATTTATAAAAGTGCACAACAAAAATGTATGCCGTAATGTTATTAATGAAAACTATAGTTCAATAAATTATTTTATTGTATAGGTTTGTTGGAGAAATGGATAGAGATCGAGCAACAAATCTATTGGAAAGCGAATCGGATGGTACCTATTTAGTGAGAATACGACCTCAAGGACCTACTAGACCAGTAGAAACGGTTTATGCATTAAGTTTAAAGTAAGCTACTTAACAATTATTTAAATATTAATCATCAAAATTTAAATTAATTTAACACAATACATGTAATTATATTTAGATCCAACAACCAAGTAAAGCATATGAAAATATGTGAAAGATTAGAAGATGGAATTAGCAGTTTTTATCTATCAGAAAAACGGTTCTTTCCCAATCTAGTTGAATTAGTTAATTTTTATGAACGAAATAGTTTGAGTGAAAATTTTACTGGGTGTGTACACTTAACATAATATAAAACTATAAAAATAATACATTCATTATAATTATATTTAATTATTAATTCTACAGGTTGGACATCAAACTGAAATGGCCATTTTGTCGAATACTTGCCATAGCCAAGTATAATTTTTCTCCCACTGAATCAAACCAGTTACCATTAAAGGAAGGATGCACATTGAAAATTTTGAGCAAAGAAGGGGATCAAAAAGGATGGTGGAAAGGACAAATTGGAGATAAAGTAATTGACTTTATTATATTAAATTGTTTTAATGATTATAAAACATTACAAAAATATATAATTCAATACTTATTTTCAGATTGGTTTTTTTCCAAAAGTTTATGTACAAGAACACTCACAGTGTACTTTAAAAATTTCAAATTAAATTAGATTCTAATTCAGTTGTAACCAATGCTTTAATCCTTTTACAACCAGAAGAAGAAAATAACTTTTGAGGCTCGGGACCAAATGTAATTATCTGCAATATTTCACTGAAAAAAAGTGAATGATATATTAAGTACATTTTACAAATAATCAATACCATGATGGTTATTTATTTTTAACTGTAATAAGTCTCAAAAATGTGTCAGTGTACATTTTAATAATTTCACATACATTTGATCAATTGAAAATTATTTATATTTAAGTTAATTGAAATATTGAACAACATTTAATTTTATTAAGGAATATATTTAATTAAATATTTATAATTTTGTAAAGTTAAAATATATATTAAAATTGTATCTATTTTTTATGTTTCAACATACCAAACATTTATATATAATATATTTTTTTTACTTTTTTAGTCATACTGTAAAAAATTGTGTCATTACTTACTATTAAGCATTTTTAATTTAAATATAGCATACTTTTGTTGAGAAAATTCTATATCAATACTGCTATATAATAAAAACATATTGTTAATACATAACAAGTATATTAAATAAATTGTATTTATTACATAATTACTATTGAAAGCAAATAGGTAGTAACCAATACTTTCCTCTTTAATATATTAACAGACATTTAAAATATTATGTTTATATTTTTAACTTTCATAGCTTATGCCCTATTTGTGTTTATTTTTACGTTTAATAAAATGTTCCAAAAAAAAATTTGAATAAACTCAGATTTTAAAAATAGAAAAAAATCTTCATTGAGCCATCACAGTGAGTAGGTATGCATATACTAGTGACCTCATTAATTTCAGAAATATTCTGTAGGTATAAGTATAATAATATTCAGTGATTTTTTATTACCTTTTTGCTTCAGAATCCAAATGTTTTTTTAAATTTTTCAACTCTGCCTCGATACATTGTTGCACATGAACTTTTTCGAGTGGTAAAAATGGAACATAATGATCAATAATATGGGAATCTATTATTGCACTTTTCTTCAACCCTCCTATTAAAATGAATACATCAATAAATTTAATAATTCTACAACATTTAAAATAATTAATTATATTTCAAATAAGTAGTTGTAACTTTTACATTTAAATTACATGTGTTTTTTGTCTAATCAATAATTTGGCTTAAAAGTATAATTCTAAACTTAAAATAACTTTTAATTATGTCTTTTGACAACTATCATATACAAATACCAACAAACTATTGCTATACATAATTGAAACATCATAAATCTATATTTATATTACATGAAATATATAAACTTTAAATTTAACTGCATTTGATTGAGTTATAAATAATGATAAATATAAGTTTTACCTTCTTCATTGAAAGCAGATTTTAGTAAAATGGTATCAAAATCTTGAACTTTCATCAACTCTCTTGAAACTCCTTTAACCCAGAGATCTAAGTATTTTTTGATAATAGAATCACTGCCTGTATTAGTTAAAAATATAAAAATTGTATTCCTGTAATGTTAATAAAAAAATTAGTTGCTTTTTTCAAAAATTGAAAATCAATCATTTAATTTTTAATTTTCATATATTAATGCATTTATTTAAGCAATCCAATTCTATTGTCTTTTTACTTAAAAAATAACCCTTCATATTAATAATGATTCTCTTGTAGATTTAACATTTAACAACATTTATAGCGACAAAATATTAATTTTTTTTAATATATTAAATAGCTAGACAATAGCATTAGACACTATAAAACAATCAACTAATAAATTACCTAGAATCCACGGACATGTCATTATTTTCAAGAATAGGTATTAGTATGTCTAATATACCCATAGGTATATAATGGATTTCATCGAAAACAAATAAATTTGTATCACACGATTGTATAGCGGATTTCACATCAGAATAAAGTTTTTCCTGAAATATTAATTAATATTAAGTATAAACATTTGAATATTAAATAAGAGTGAAATAATTAAATTTCATCAAAATTTAAACTTTTGACTTTCATAAATGTTAAAAGTATTTAACACTTGACTTCTTAACTTTTTAAATTTTTGTAAGAACATCTTATGCGAAATTGATTAATTTTAAAAACTAAGAAATATTAAATATTAAATATCTTTGTATAGCTCAAAAAAAACCAAAATATTTTGAAAACTCATATGTCAAGTACCGATTTGGTTATCCTTAGATATTTATTTCAATTTAAAAAAATATGTAATCAATTTTGTCAAAAATGTATGAAAAAAGTTCCTATTTACCATTAAAAACCAAACTCAAAGTTTAATGATTAATATTAAATCTTCCTTAATATACCTTAAGAGGATATCTCACTCGCATGTGTTGTAGCCGTCTTACAAATGTATTACATAGCAAAAACTGTTTTGCACGGGACAACTTTTATCTGTCTGTGTTTGTAGTAGTGGTTCCAAAATTTCTGAACATATAGGGTAGAAAATTATATTTGCAACAGTGTGCTTATATTTTAGATAACATAAATACAATAAAAGTTATTTGATTCCAAACATTATGTTTTTTTGTTTTTTTTATTTACTTATAAAAAATGATTGGATAGTGTTATAAAAAAAAGCAAGCTGTGGCACAGATAAAGTTCTTCTTTACTTGTTGCAAAAATTTTGCTATGTTGTACATTTGTAAGACAGACACAGCACATGCAGGTGTGACATCTTCTAAATGGCACATGAAAATATGAAATACTAAAACAATATTATTTGTAATTATAAAATCAATACACTGTTATGATCAGAATTAAAATGGAAGAAATCATAATATATTACTGTTAAATGTATAATATAACTTACAGTGTCGGTCTGGCCCAACCGGCTAGCCGAGGGCCCTAGGATATTTTTACATATCGAGGGCTCTAGCCAACTGGGAAAGAAATTAAAAAAAATTAAGTTAACTTTCAATTTTCACGAATTTCTTAATGTAATATTGTTCAATATAATATTATATCAACCATGAACTGCTATACACAGTCAATTGTATACATCCATTGTGGCATGATCTTTGGAACGAAATTATAGAGCTTAAAATAATTTAAAAAAATTAGTTGATGAAGTTATTCACAGCAACATGTTAATTTTGTTACAAAAATCATTGTCCTATAACATTGATTTGTGTAGTTATTAGTGGATATATTGAACATTAAAAATAAAAAAATAAATATTGTATACAATTTCAACGACTAGTAGTGCGTGTTCTTTATTACCTATTGGATTAGCATTAGATATAAAAGTTTGGAAACTATACAATTTTACAATATTAATTATATTATGCTGGTTTTTTGAAAATATAAGTTGCTAAATTCAACCGATTTTAAAATTGTTTTTCTAAAAAAAAACCAAAATAAGATTTTAAGTGTTTGATAAAAAAAATTTTTTAGGCCTTGGTAAAAGGGAAGCTTTTAGTCCATAGATAACATTAAAAAAAAACTGTACTAGAATATCAGCTGAATTGTATATCAAATTAGAGCTTTCCAATTAATAAACATACTGTTGTTAAGTATATTAGGTATTATATTTATTTTGTATCTATTTAATCATTAAAAAATACCTATATATTTTTACCAAAACAATTGTCAAACTGTGAAATTATATTTTATGAAAGCCGTCGCAGTGTACCTAGTAGTCTATACATTATTTTATTTATATTAACTTAAATAAATTTAACACAATTCTATCTAATAATTATAATACCATATTTATAAGATTTGATTCTAGTATTATTATAGTTATGAATTTATGATACTAATATTGTACACAGAAAATAAAATTAATTAGGTAAAAAACATTTTAGATTCTAAGCGTAGCGATGAATGTATTAATTTAACAATGATGTTTTTTAAAGGGGCCCGTCGAAAATTATTGTGCCAATCATTAGCCAGACCAACACTGATAACTTATAATGTAGAAGATAATAACAATGTAACTTAAATTAAGTACAGTACTCTTCAAAGTATCTCGCAAAAAAATCAAATGTTAAAATACAAAGAAAATAATAAATTATAGTGAGAAGATCAAAATATTTAAATTTGATACAGAAATAAAGAACACTTTTCTACATTTTGTAATTTTTATAGGAGATGGGATTATAATAATTAAAACATATTATTTTACAACCTCTCTACTTACCTTATAATCGTTTATTTTTGATTGCACAGGAAATTCAGATCGTCCATGAATAACACGATATCGTAATTCTTTAACTTTTTTCGAATCAAACATATGTTTAGCAATTAAATCTGATAAAAAATTTTTGCCAGAACCGGTGCAACCATGGAAACTCATTACTAATGGTTTCTTGTTATTTCCGCTACGACGCAAATTACCTGCCAAAGCAGATACTACAATTTTTGATGCAATATGTTGCCCAAAAAAACTTTTTTTCATGTCATGCTCTAAATCTGTAATAAATAAAAGAATATTAATTTGTGATTCAATTTTTAGTATTTCAAATAAAAGATATAGGTAGGTAAATCTATTTTACTGAGATATCATAAAATTAAAACTAAATGAAATGACAAATGTTAATCATTTACATTATGTTTGGAAATACTGATGCATTTATTGAATTAGGTATAATTATTATACTAAGTCACAGCAAACCTTGAACTACAACTGCATGGGTTTATAATGTTGTAAAATTAAAATTGAACATCAATCAGAAATTAAATATCTATGTAGTATTGCAATTTAGTCAAAATTGAACTACCTACCTTTACAGTTACAAAATAGACTTTGTAGTTATGTGTTAATGTGATATAATAAATATTAAGACAGGTATATAAAAGTTTTTATAATACATTAAAAGCTTATAAAATATTTTGATGTAAGAAGGAAAAAAATAAAATACCCTCTTAGTAGTTATTTATTTTTAGTTACAAGATAAGATACTGTTTAATATTTTAACTGAACTTACCTTTAATTTTAAATGTTTTAGGACATCCACCAAAATAAGGGAATACAAAGTTTGATTTATTTAGGAAGTATCCTGTCACAAAAGCTCCTACAACAAAACTTCCTGTGATTGGATCTATTAATCCATAGACTGTTGTAGATTTAAAAATAAATAAACTTAAGAAATATAACGAAAAATATTTTCCACATAACATGGTACACAAATTTTTATTTTAAATTATATTAGCTATAAACAAAATACTTGTTAGCTGTTGAAAAAAAATATGTTATCGAACATTAAACCAAATAATTAAAATTCTAATAATTACAAAAATCATAATATTATATTGTGAGTGTTAAATAAATAATTAGAACTGTGAACTTAATAAATGGTAGGCACTTTAATACTATTCATATTGATAAATACTTCTGCAGATCTGTACAACAACTGTAGTCAATACTATAATAAGTAATAACTAATAACTATTAAGTTACGTTAAAACTTTGAATTGTCTTAACAGTTAACTATAATTTATAAAGTCTAAAGTCTGATGTCTGTAAACGGACCAATGTGAATGTAGGGATACATCTTATTATCTTAGTCCGTGGCTAACGCACATTTAGCTCATATCAATTCTGATAAGGTAGGTAACCGGCATGAACTATGATTAATGATTAATCATTAATCATAGTTCATGGTAACCGGCAAGTGAGCAATCTCTAGTATTCATATCTGTGGTAAACGTATTCCTGCATACTCTATTGCCTATGCAAATCATACAAGGGGTTTTAACAAAAATATTTATTTTTCAGATATAATTCGGGATTTGAGGTGGTTCGACGGATGAATAATATTTATTTATTTTTTATTAGCTTTAAGGGGATTTGATAAAGCGATTTTCTGTTTTTTGTCTGACACACTCGCGACATATTATTTTAAACGTGTTTTTTGCCAAACATTCCAATTCGTCTATTGAAGCAATAAGATATTTGAAAACAGATTTGAATTTGTCGTCAAGTCTACTTGAAATCAGGCGCGGATCCAGAGGGGGTGATAGGGTGCTATAGCAACCCCCTTGGCATGTTGCTTCCTGGAAAACAAATACTCTACACAACATGTAAATTGTCTTTTACAGACTAGGGACATTTCTGAAAAAAATTGGTACCAAAATAAAAAAGGTGGGTAAGTTTATGTCGCTCTGCTGTACAGTAGGTTACAAGTGGGTCACTGTATAATGGATGCTTTTAAATTTGAATTCAATGATACAATATCATTGTATAAGAAAAACGATTCTGAGCGAAGACGGTATGTCAGTCTAGGTTTAAGACAAATTATATACATATCTATGGTATTAAAAAAAAAATTGACCTATAATAAATTCCAAATTAATCATATCACATTATCACAATATCCATTAGGTACTTATAACACGTTATACATCAACATCAATAACAAACCCTGATACTATCATAGATATATAATAGTACACTTTAGAAGTTTCAAGTAGGTACCCACGAATAATATTATATAATCACAACAAAATAACTAGGTTTTTTAATATGTAATTCCGTCCAAATTTGAACATAAAATGACTATAAAAATAAACTGTGATTGTATATTTTTTAGATTTTTCGGTAAGAGAATTAACTACTTACGTGGAATCTTGTTTTAAATTTTCAATCCTTAGCTATAAAAACTGAACATTTTATAATTTATTAATTACGATGATTAATAATTTTCGAGATTTTGAAAAATTCTGTCAAAATTCGATGTTTAAATGCTTATAAAAAAAATTGTGCCTATGTATTTTTAATATTTTTCAACTGATATTGTAACAATATGTCAGGAGCCTTGTATTAAATTTTTACACTTTTTGGTCCAACAGATAAAACTTTATTGATATTCATAGAAAAAAAAACTAAAAAAATTGAAAAATGAAAATGTCCGTAAACAGTTCAAAAAGAGTCAAAATATTTTCAAAGTCGTATGGTGTATAGGAAATTCTAATATAAACATTCAGTGAAATTTTCATGTATCTACAGTTATTCGTTTTTGAATTACAACAAAATAAGGAAATCGCTACATGAGAAATCGAGTGAATAACCAATGTTGTAAAAATTTGAATTTCAAACGCTCATAAAAATTTAATTTAATTGTCCGGTAGAGATTTTTTTATTGATACAGGTAGACAAACTTATGAGTAATCTTGTATTTAAAATGAAAAATTTTTACGAATTCTTAACTCAAAATAATTTGCTAATTTACGTGATTTTTCCATATTTTGTCAATTTTTGAACTTTAAATGCTTATAAAAAAAAATTGTGACTAAGGATTTTTAATATTTTTCATCTGCCTTTCAAACAATATATTAGGAGCCTTCTATTAAATTTTCAAGCTTTCGCAACCAACAAATAAAATTTTATTGATATTTCTAGAAAAAAAACTAAAAAAAAATGAAAAATGAAAATGTCCCTAAACAGTTCAAATAAATCAAAATATTTTGAAAATGTTATCGTGTATAGAAAATGCAAATATAAACAACCAGTGAAAATTTCATGTATCTACGGTCATTTGTTTTAGAGTTACACCAAAAACCAAAATCGATTTTTTGGAAAACCAATTTTGCGTAAAAATTCCCGTTTTTCCTTAATTTTTCTTTTGTTTTTCTTGGCGCTTTTGAAAAGTACTGGGAATTTTAAATTTTGACCTCCCCAATGCACCAACGATATTCACTTTCCAATCGAACAAGATACTGAAGTCGAAAATCGAAGCATTATTTCGACTACTTATCGTGTACACAGATACAAAAAAAAAAAAAATAAAAAAAAAAACACACATCATTGTAAAATCAATACATTCATCGTTTCACTCAGAATCTAAAACATATGTAGTTTTTCCCTAACGCTGAAATGCTAGTAATGCTGCCCTAAACAATATTGTTATATATATATAATATATAATAATATATATTGAGGAATAAATTCACTTTAGATAGCTAGAAGCTAGAATTATTTTTGAACTATTTCAGATTCTGAGTGGAACGATGAATGTATTGATTTTACAATGATATTTTTTTAAAAATTTTTTTTACTTTTGTGTCTGCGTGAACACGATAAGTAATCGAAATAATGCTTCGATTTTCAACTTCTATATCTTGTTCGATGGATAAGTGAATATTGTTGGTGCATTGAGAAGGTTAAAATTTAAAATGCAGAATAGTTTTTCACAAAATCGATTTTGGTTTTTGGTAATTGGTTTAACTCTAAAACATATGAACGTATGTACATAAAATTTCACTGGTCGTCAATTTTTGCATTTTCTATACACAATAACATTTTCAAAATATTTTGATTTGTTTTAATCTGTTTTACAGACATTTTTAGTTTCCATTTTTTTCTATGAAATATGAATGTCAATAAAACTTTATTTGTTGGGTAAAAAAACTTGAATTTTTAATACGAAGATCGTACTATATTGTTATTATGACGATTGAAAAATATTAAAAATCCTTTATCACAGTTTTTTTTTACACGCATTTAAAGTTTAAATCTTGACAGAATAAGGAATAACCACGATCATTAGTAAATTATTTTGAGTTAAAAATTCATAAAAAGTTTTATTTTTAAATCTAAGATTTTAAAATGTAATACAAGATTACTCATAAGTTTGTCTACCTATATATCAAAAAAAAAATTCTACCAACAAATCAAATTTAATTTTTATGAACGTTTAAGTTCATATTTTTACAAGTTTGAATATTCACTCGATTTCTCATGTAGCGGTTTTGTTATTTTATTTTTACTAAATCAAAAATGAATAACTGTAGATACATGAACATTTTACTGAATGTTTTTATTTTCATTTTGTATCACCATCCAAGTTTGAAAATATTTTAACTCTTTTTGAGCTGTTTGCTGACATTGTCAGTTTTCAATTTATTTAGTTTTTTTTCTATAAATATCAATAAAATTGTATTTGTTGGGTTAAAAAGCGTGAAATTTAATACAAGGCCACTGATATATTTTTACAATAGAAGTTGAATAATATTAAAAATTCATAGGCACGATTTCTTTTTATAAGCATTTAAATTTCGAATTTTGACAAAATTTATCAAATTTAAAATGTAATAATTATTTTGTAGTTAAAAATGTTCAAATTTTATAGCTAAGGATTGAAAATTCAAAATAAGGTTCCACGTAAATTAGTTAATATATAAATTACTCAGAATCGCTTTTCTTATACAATGATATTATATCATTGAATTCAAATTTAACACCATCCATTATAGTGAGTAGTGACCCACTTTACACTTGTAACTTACTGTACAGCAGAGGGACATCCACTTACCCACTTTTTCTTGAAACAAACGTATTTCAACAAGTTAAGAACGAAGGTGAAAAAAATAATTTGCGGGAATCATCATTTTGGAAGTATTATATCCTTGAATCCTTCCACAGTTTGCGATTTTACGTTTACATGCATACAACACTGTACATTAGGTACTCCCAATTTTGATTTTTTTAACGTTTCTATGTAGTTAAGCATGCGAAAACGATGGTGAAGTTAGAATTTGGCGGTCAGACTTAGGCGTAGCACTCAGCAGTAAAAGATGAAGATGAGGGGGGAGGTTATTTGTTGAGGAAACATGTAACTATGGAATATAAACTGCATAATAACCGGCAGAGAGGGAAGTGACTGAACCATTGGTGTATATGACAATGAAGTTAGAGTAATTAACATTGACATTTTGGACTTATTTTTATCATTTGGCGTATGTGTAATAACATAAAGCAGTTTTTGGTAAAATCAGAACAAACTAATATTGAAACAATTCTAGTTAATCTTTCAAGCAAATTTTTCAAACATTTTTTCCCCCCAAAATATAGGTTTTAACTTTTATAAAACTTTTAACGCCCCATTTAAAATAGTTTAAACATAAGTTCAAATACGTAATTTTATAATCCATATATCCATTTGGTAAAAATAATATTCATATTTCTCTTAATATATTTATTCATTTAAATTTTAAAATATTAAAATTTTTTATATTTTATATTTCACTTAACTAATTATGGAATGAGCCACTATGTCACTGCATGTGTATAGGAAATCGAGGAACTTCTTTCTTACTTTAATAATACTTAAAATATAAAACAATGTCTAGAATTAAATGTATAAACTGTAAATTGAGCAAAAGCCTGTGTTGTATTATAAAATAAAATAAAATAATTATAAAACATTTAAAAATATATATTTCAATAGGTACTTATTTTCAGATTGGTTTTTTTTACAAAAGTTAATGTATAAGAACACTCACAGACCACATTTTTCTTTAAGAATATCCAATTTAATTAGCATATAATTTAGATGTAATCCATTGATTAAGCCTTTTGCAACCAGAAGTAGCAAATAACTTTTTAGGCTCAGGACCAAATGGAACTATACGCAATATGTCACTGAAAAAAAGATGCAATTTTATATTAAATACATTAAGTACATTTTTCAAATAATTATTGTTTTACATGGTTATTTATTTTTATCTGTAATAAGTCTCAAAAATATATTATTATACATTTCAATAATTTTACATACATTTAATCAATTGAAAATTCATTGGTATTTAAGTTTTTTAAGATGATGGTGATCAATATTTTATTTTATGTGCCATATTAAGGAAAATATTTATAATTTTGTAAAGTTAAAGTATATATTAAAATTGGGTCCATAATTTATATTTCAATTTTCAACATACCAATAAAACATTTATATTTATAAATATTTTTACTTTTTTAGTAATACTGTAAAAAATTGTGTCATTAGTTATTATTAAAGCTCGTAAGTTATATGAGATAAAAAAAGTCAAACATGCAAAAATATTTAATTACAATACTAAAATACCCATTTTATGTTGTAATTGTTTTTCTTATTAGCTTCAAATACACCTTAACTATTATAGCTCAACAATTAAAGTACTTAATACAACGTAAATAAAGAAATAAATATATTATAGAATAGTGCTTAAATATTTAAGACAAAATATTAATTTTAGAATGAACAGATATCATAATCAGTGAACAAGACATAATTATGGTATTTAAGTTATTGAAGTATAGATATTTTGGACTATGGAATATATCATTTATGCAGTAAGGCTGTAAAAGAAGAAATGGGGGGTTTTGTTAATGCAGAAAGTTCTGAGATCAATTTGGAAAACATTTTATTAACCAAAATTTTCAAATATAGCGGAAAACTATTTGCTATTTTGAGTTTTCATTGAATTGAAAAAATAGTTGGAAAAATTATATCATTCGATAAGATAGTACCTACATCAGAATATTAGCCTGATTTATAGCTTGATTTGCTATAAATCGAGAGCATATAGAATAATATGCTAATGCCCAATTCTACAACTTCACAGCCCTTCTTATTATTTAGCATGTTTAACTTTTAACAAGCATACTTTTGTTGAGAAATTTCTATTTTAATAATGCTGTATAGAATAAATATATTGTTAGTACATAAATAAGTATATTTAATAAATTGTATTCATTACTTACATAATTACTACTGAAAGCAAGCAGTAACCAATACTTATTTCCTTAACATAATAATAGACAGTTTTAAAGTAGTTATTATTTTTATATTATTAAATTTCATATCTTATGCCCTATTTATGTTTTATTTTATTATATTAGTCATTTATTCAAGTTTATGATACATTAATATATATGGTTAAAAAAATGTACCCCTAGTTACATCCATTGGGGATTTTTTTTTAAATATAGCTATTAAAAATTTATGAAATATGTGGGAATGTATAAAATATAAACTATGCATTTTAAGTAAATTTAATATTTTAAAATAATAACAAATTAGCCAGTGGATATCAATTCAATAAATTAGTATCATGATGTAATGACAAACTATAAAATTATATAAACAAATAAATGATGGATTTAATTTGTCATCACTGATTTTATTTACATCACTAATTATATTACCTTTTTGCCTCAGAATCCAAAGAACTATTTAGATTTTTCAACTCTGCCTCAATACATTGTAACACATGAACTTTTTCGAGTGGTAAAAATGGAACATAAAAATCAATAATATGGGAATCTATTATTGAACTTTTCATTAACCCACCTATTAAAATTAACATATCAATAATCAATACATTTAATTATATAAAAATGTACCTAAAAATTATCTATGACATGCAAAATCATGTATTTTATTTAAATTAATTTATAAAGTTTTCAAATTTTAACCCCTTAACTGCTCGATGTACTATTATGTCCCTGTATTTTATAATATTCTCATTTTTATTCTTATTCTCAAGTTTTGGAAACCATTGTTCGCATTATTTTAAACTTAAATAATCAGTTCAGATAGATCTCAAAATTAAAATCTTAAAAAAAAAACAATAAATGTTTTATTTTACGTAGCATCATACACCAGTTGCAGTTGATAAATAGTGTATCAGTGAAAGACTTAATTACATAAAATATAAATAGTTATGCATTTATCTATTAGGTACATAATGGTTATGGTGACTTATAACTATTGTAATTTGTAAATATGATAAATTTAAGTTTTACCTTTTTCATTAAAAGCAGATTTTGTTAAAATGGTATCAAAATCTGCAACAGTCATTTTCTCTCTAGAAAATCCGTTATCCCAAAGTTCTAAATACTTTTGTAAAATTGGATTATATCCTGTATTAGTTAAAAATATGAAAATTGAATACCTATAATATTAATAAAACAATTAGGTAGTTATGTTTCTTTATAAAATTGAAAACCAATCATTTAACAAATTGTGCATGTATTATTTAGTATTTATACATATAAACACTTTTTATATTAATATAATGATTTTTTTTTAGATTCAACATGGCTCAACATTTAAAGTGAAAGAAACTTCATGCAACATTTTAATTTTTCAAATTTATTAAAAAGCTATATAATAGTCAGTGGCGCTTAACACGGGGATAAACTGGGGAAAATTCCCCAGAACTATTTATGATTGGGTTAGGTGAGAGGATGGGTGATAATAAGTGATCAGTCATTAGAGGCATTTAATATTTAAACGTCATCATAATTTAACAATAATGGTACCTAAGTGTAAAGAACAGGCAATAATAGTATGAGTATGGCAGGCCACCAGGCAGTATACCACGATTATACTGCATTATCGAGAGTAGCCAAAAATGAATTTTTAAGAAGGTGGGTCTAACACCAGAGTTTTTCCTCATAACATGAGATATAGATCGGCGCCACTGAGTCAATAGTATCAGACACTTTAAAACAATTAACTGGTTAATTACCTAGAATCAAGGGACACATCATTGTTCTCAAGAATAGGTCCTAGTATGTCTAATATACCCATAGGAATATAATGTATTTCATCAAAAACAAATAAATTTGTATCACATGATTGTATAGCTGATGTCACATCAGAATAAAGTTTTTCCTGAAATATTAATACATATTAAGTATAAAAATTTGTATATTCAGTAAGAGTGAAACAATTAAATTTCATCAAAATTTAAACTTTGCACATTCATTATTAACACTTGACCTTTTAGCTTTTTTAATTGTTGTAAGAACAACTTATGGGGAAATTGATTAATTTTTTAAAACAACCAAAATATTTTGAAATTTATAATGTCTAATAAAAGAAAAACTTAGGTAACATTTTTAAGTACCTATCTGGCTATGCACAGTTAATCATTTTTGATTTCCAATAAAAAAATTGATTTTGTCAAAAATGTACGAATTACATCATATTTACCAAAAAAAAAACCCTGAAGTTTAAAGTTAAAGCTTCTTTACTATATGCTCCCTAAAGTCACATCACATACAAAAAAAAACATAAAATAATAAAATCAATACATTCATTGACATGCTTAGAATTTAAAAGGAATTAATCATAACATATTACTGTTAAATATATAATATAACTTAAGATGAAGAAGATAATAACCATGTAACTGAAAAAAGTTACAGTACTCTTCTAAGTATTTCAAAAAAAAATCAAATGTTGAAATGTAAAGATAATATTATTATAGTGAGAAGATTAAATATTTAAATTTGAGACGGAAATTACGATTACTATTCTACATTTGTAATTTTTATAGGAGATAGGATTACAATAATTTAAAAAAGCAGGTAAGTGGATGTCGCTTTGCTGTACAGTAGGTTACAAGTGGGACGTGGGTCAATGTAAAATGGTTTGTTTATTTGTATTAAACTTGAATTCAATGATATAATACCATAGTATAAGAAAAACGATTCTGATTGGATGTCAGTCTGGGTATTAGATTCTGAGTGGAACGATGAATGTATTGATTTTACAATGATGTGTGTTTTTTACATTTTTTTTATTTTTTTTTGTGTCTGTCATCGCCTTTTAGGACAGTAAACGTGCTAGGATTTTCTTCAACAGTATCTTTTCTGATAGACAAGTGAATCTAGTTGGTACTTTAGGGGGTCAAAAGTAAAAATTTTCCAGTAGTCTTCAAAAGCTCCATTCAAAACAAAAGAAAAATTAAGGAAAAACTGGAATATTTACTATATATATTAATATATATTTTTACAACATTTGATATTCATTCGATTTCTCATGTAAAGATTTTCTAATTTTGATGTAATTAAAAAACGAATGACTGTAGATACTTGAAAATTTCACTGAATGTTTATATTAGTAGTTCCTATACACCATATAATTTTGAAAATATTTTGACTCTTTTTGAGCTGTCTACAGACATTTTCAGTTTTCATGTATATTAGTTTTTTTTTCTATGAATATCAATAAAATGTTATTTGTTGGGTAAAAAAGCGTGAAAATTTAATGCAAAGCTCCTGATATGTTGTTACAATAGCACTTGAACAATATTAAATACATTCATCGCTCCGCTCAGAATCTAAAATACATGGGCACAATTTTTTTTTATAAGCATTTAAAGTTCAAATTTTGAAAAATTTAATAATAATTTTGTAGTTAAAAATTTATAAAATGTTCATTATTTATAGCTAATGATTGAAAATTTAAAGCAAAATTCCAAGTAAATAGGTTATATATAAATTACTTTATTTACCTTAGTATCATCAAATATACTCCGTAATATTATAGACTGACTAACCGTTTTCGATCAGAATCGTTTTTTTTATACAATAATATTATCATAGATAATCTTATATTATCAATGGATATTATATCATTGAATTCAAATTTAATACCATCCCGTATACAGTGACCTACTTGTAACCTACTGTACAGCCGAGCACCTTTTTTATATTGTTATTATTTACTAACTATAGCCTGTTAGTTGAATTAATACTATAATATTTTTATTTTTTACTCTTTTCCTATGGTGATAAACAAAGCGTTAGAAATTAAAATCCTATTTTTGTGCTATTTTTTGTAATTTTTCGGGAGTTTTTCCAGTGGTATTAAATAACTATTAATAAAATTGAAAAATGACTTCTCCAGAGTACCATCTTGATCCAATTTTGATAAAAGATAAGGTACTATATGTTGAAATCGAAGCACTCCCTCTGGTAGAAATTGTATATACAGGATAAAAAAAAAAAAATGAACACCATTGTAAAACCACTGGCTAACCACTAACTCCGCTCAGAATCTAAAACATTATTTTACATCCAAACACATTCAGAATATATTAATATACCTACCTAAAGAGCATTTTACCTTATAATTGTCTATTTCTGATTGCAAAGGAAATGCAGTTTGTCCATTAATAACATGATATCGTTTTTTTCTTGATTCTGTTGAATTGAACATATGACTAGCAATTAAATCTGATAAAAAATTTTTACCAGTACCACTGGAGCCTTGAAAACACATTACTATTGGTTTCTTATTTTTTTTGCTACGATGCAAATTACCTGCCAAAGCAGATATTACAATTTTTGATGCAATATGTTGCCCAAAAAAACTATTTTTCATGTCCTGCTCTAAATCTGTAAAAGGAATAATGAAAAACTATAGTATAAATTTAACACTCAATATACTTAGAAATAAATAAGAGGATTTTAATTTGAGATTAAATTGTCTGAGAATATTTAAAAGTTCCAAAAATCAGAATTCGAATATATTCATTAGGCAAGGGATAATGTGAATGAGGATGTTTGGTGAATCTTCCTGTATAAGTTATTAAGATATATAGGTATTCATAACACATTAAAAGCTTATTTGATGTAAGATTGTAAGAATGAAAAATTATTTTTAGTTACAAGAAAAAATACTGTACATTTTAACTGATCCTACCTTTTATTTCAAATTTTTTAGGACAATCATTAACAAAAAAAGGCCATTTATTTGCTAAGTATCCTATCATAAAAGCTCCTGCAGCAATACCGCCAGTGATTGGTTCTATTAATCCATAGACAGTTGTAGGTTTAAAAAAAAATAAAAAACTTGTGACACATAACAAAAAATATTTTACACATAACATGATTTTTATTTTAAATTATTTTACCCATAAGCAAAATACTTGTTAAGTGTTGGAAAAAGAAATAATATTATCAAACAATAAACCAATTTATTAAAATAGCTACTTAAATCAGTTAAATCATAATCATAGAAGCTGTTGGTTTAAGCAATACGCATGTGGATGGATTATAATATATTAATTTATAGCACAGAACTTTATAGTATCAACACATTATTATTATTATTATTATTATTATTATCTATCTCATCTCAGTAGATAATATTATCTGTAAACCTTGATGGCGGCCGGCCTGTTACCCATATCAGTTTGACCTTATCTATAAATGTAACATAATCGGATCTAACCAGTGTGGTCGGCGGTGCAATTATTGAATTTTTATCAACAATTTTTTATATTATATTATACTGCCGAGTACTTACAATTTAAAAAAAAAATTATTCGCAAATCGCAATGTAATGAGACAGTTTTGAGTATCAACTATCAAGTCACAAATGTGCAAAATGTCGTGAATCGGATCCGTGCTCTCCACACAAAAATGAAATGGCGGCTGATTTCTACTGTGCTATTTGCAATCGTTCTGACGGCACAACCCGCCACCCAAGATCCGTATGCCATTCTTGGCATATCAAAGGCCGCATCATTGGCTGAAGTTAAAAATGCCTACCGAAATCTGGTGAAGATATGGTATGCTTTTTCAGTAAATTTATGGCAGCTTGTATTGATATTTTTAACTCTTTTCATTTTTTATTTTATCAGGCATCCGGATAAGAGCAACCATCCAGAAGCTGAGACCAAATTTATCGAAATAACAACAGCTTATGAAGTACTTGAATCATTTTTATTATGACTTTTATTTGATAAATATTAATAAAAAATTGTTCACTGTAATATATTTGTCATATTTTAGTCATTGACGAACAGAGACAAGCCAGATAGTTATGCTGCACCTACCAACAGTTTTTCCAGCAATTTTAATCAATTTTTCGACTTTGACATGGACAACTTTTTTGACAATGTGCATCATCGCTATACTTTTGAATTCTTTAGAAAATTACAAATAAATTTGGAGTAAGTTTTTCTATAAACAATATTATTTGTCATGTAATAATTTTATTTTTTATTATTTCAGTGAATTTAATTCATTAATGCTAACAAAAAATAGCAAAAAGCTTACTTTAATACTGTTTTATTCTGAATTTTCTCTTGCTTTTCTTAAAGCACAATCTGTTCTTAAAAAGGTTATCGAAGATGTCGTACCAATCGGTACGTTAACTTATCTATATATAGTTATATATAATGAAATAAAAGTTGACTAAAATTAATGTTTTTAATTTATAGGGGTGGATTTTAAAACAATGAATAAAGATATGGAACCTTCAGCATTTTGGAGAGCTAAAGGAGTGTTTATTCCTCATTTAGTATCAATCATAGATTCAAATCTCATAGTTTATCAAGAATCATTTCAGAGTGCTGATAATATTATTAGTATGTTCTAAAAATATAATTAGGCCTGTTTATACCTTGTTTGATGATATTTTTCGTTTAGACTTTATAAGAAAGAGTTTGCCAGTCAACCTTATACCTGAATTCAATGATGTTACTATTGATAAATTCTTGAATACTTGGTCAACTGATAATCATGTACGGGCATTAGTTATGCAGCCTGGATCTCCTTTGAGAATACGTTATGCTTTAATTGCACTTGAGTATCGAAACCATATTAATTTTGGGTAAGTTTTTGATTTATTCTTTACATTACTATCCAATATCTGCTTATTGTGGTAAACTGGAATTAATTGAATACACTTTTTAGGTTCATGAATATTGGACTGTATGAGTGTCGATCAACACGAGACCGATATAAAGTACCACATGACAAAGATACTCTATTAATATTGAAAGAAAATGTTAGACATCCAGCTGCACATCTCTCTATGGCATACATACCGATGGTTGGTCTACGTGACCTAATGGAAAGCAATAAATATTTGACTTTACCTAGGCTATCTTCACAAGATGTTTTTGATACTCTTTGCCCAGTTGGTCAGAAACAGTTTTGTCTGGTATTAGTGTCTCGTAACTCTCCTAATCATGAGGCTCATCGACAATCTATCAGACGTTTCGCTCAAGAAGCTCGTTCTATTTATCCTGACGTGCGACTAGCCTTCATGTATGTGTTTAGAGAGAGACAGCCACATTTCATTAACTCATTAATACAGGGCAGTGAAAGTCCAAGTGAACCATTACTTCATATAGTCTTGTTGACTAGGCTCAATAAAATCATGGTCAGTTATAAATGGCTTTTGGGAGACGACTATAATGATTGGGCTAACTATGATTTAACTAAAGTAATACATATTAGTTGGTAAATAGTATTTTTAACATTTTATTAACAAAAAACATATGATTTAATATAGGAGAAACTGACCGGAGTGTTGAATGCACTGCTCGGCAGTGAAGCGGCTTGGACACTGAGTAATGAAGCTCATATTGGCGTTGTGTTAGATGAACATGGTCAGAGCTTATTAGTGCGCATTGCTGCAAGAGCTCAACAGCATATCATAACTATGTTTTACACCATGATCGATATGACCATAAACCATGGGTTATTCTTTATGTACATTGTGTTTTTGATGATTGGAACGATGGTGGTCATGTATTTTGTATACATTTTAGTGTATGTCAAAAAATATTTTGTACAAATTGCACATTTTTAATTTGATTATAATGTTTTAGGGAGAATGAGATAAAAGAAATCAATAAAAAAGTAGATAAAACCAAAACAAAACCATCTCAAACTAATAAACAACGTGAACTTAAACTTCATGAACTGAGAGCAGAAACTTATAATGGACTAGTGCGACTGATCAAACCAGGGTGTCGCACCATTATACTGTTGATAGACAACAGCACTGCTCTTTTACTGGCCCGACAATTTTACCATACTGTGTGGCCGTATAGAAAGTCAGCCTTCCATATTTACTATCATAAGTTGTAATTATTTGTTGCAAATTGTAATATTTTATGTTTTAGGAATAAGTCATTAATGTTTGGATATTTAAACCTTGATCGTTCTCCATCCAGAGACTGGTACTGCGAATTATTATCATTGAGCCTTACAGACACAAACAAAAGCATACACATTAATACACGAAATTGTGTGGGTACAGTGTTATCGTTGTGTTCTCTGAAAAAGTATTTCTGCATGTACCATGCTAAACACCCAGAATCCTCACGACATGTAAGTACAAGTTGGTTTTATTTTGTTTAAACTTTTATGATATAATTTCAATCTCATGTCATAGTTGTTAGGTTACCCTAAATATGTACATGATATTGGTGTACCTTGTCACAGGATGAAACCAATTTATTACAATAGTATTATCATAGTATATAAACTCGTTTGTCACTTCCTTAATTTGATAGGGTTCGCAGTCACCTAAATTAAGAGTTTTAATTTAATTTAAATTATTCAATAATGCATTGTTATTATATGTTTTTTCTTAGATTATGCAGCTTAAACTAGATAAGTCATAGAAAAATTATTTAAAAAAGGAAATTTAAATTAATTATTTAGTAAAACTTTAATTTTAAGATAAATAATTTATAAATTAATTAATAATTCTAATAATTGTCTGCTTTTATAAAGCTAATGCTGGTTACGTAAAACTTTTGTACCAGTCATAGGCCACTAAATAATGTGTAAGGGATCATTAGCTCACCATTGATTCATTATATTTAGTGAAAGTTCATGCAACCTGGCATAAATCTGTTAAATAATAATTAATTGACATTTAATCATCATAATGGATAACATTTTTGGCTAGCAGACCATCAAACACGTTTTATAAATTTTAAATTTATCAAAATATTTTGTTACAGAAAAATGATAAATGGAGAAGAGTTGGCATGAAACCGCCAAATAATGGTGGAGAATTTTGGGGTTTTAACGAAGAGTCTGATGAAGACAATTACAGTTTTGATGAAGATGAAGAAAATACTGCTGGTTTTAAACCTATTTTAAAGGTAAGAAAAAAATTAGGTACTATCACAGAATAGATTAAATTTATTCTGTGCTACGATGTTATACTACCATTGAGTAAATAACACTGATTGGCAACGCCAAAGGCATATAAAATCAATTATCGTCTATTTTAATTTGACTCATTAGTGGTGGATGTTGTCAGAATAATAGTTGATACTTATTTCCCACCTCTTCTTGTCACAATGCACTTGTTAGTCTTCAATACAAATTAAAATAAAAAGTAAAAAACGGGAGCCGGTCATGTCTTCGAAGGTCATGTTTTCGAATGACGAGTGTTAGAAAAGTTATTTGTTCGAATAGACATGTAATCGAAAAGTTGTATGTACGAAATATTATTATTTTATTTTTAAACAAAAATTTTATCGACGGACCCGATTAATATTGTTGAATAAAAGTACCTAATAAAGATAATAGATAGTAGATAACATTGCTTATAGTTTATTAGTAATGACTATTGTGGTGTGGTCTAGTATAAAGCAAAACGCGATTGTAGTCTGTACTGAAGCTTAGTTTGTTGCGAATTTAATACGTTTTATGTAATTTGTCTTTTTATTTGAATAAAATGTGTTCTATAGAAGTCATAAAAAGTATACACGGAAGGAAAGTATTAAGTGTAAATAATTTTTTATACATATTAAATAAAAATTATAAAAGAAAACGCGATGACCGAAACGCTTTTTACTGGACATGTTCAACTAAATGTGGAGCAAAAATTTGTTCTGTTGAAACACTTGAAACCGAACGGAGACTTTTATTTATTAGGAGTTTTTAAAAGTAATTGCATATAATTTAAGTTTTTAATTATTGATTTAAAACTGCATAGGTATATTTTTCCAAATATTTTTTTACATAGCTTTTTAATTTAAATAAATAATTTTCGTACATACAACTTTTCGAACATATATTTTTTCGATTACAATACTATTCGAACAAATAACTTTTCTAACACTCGTCATTCGAAAACATGACCTTCGAACACATGTATCCCACCCGTAAAAAACAATTACATTAGCGTTGCCTTGTAAGTGTTATTTGCCTTTTGAACAGACAACTGCTTCAATTGTATAATTTATTTATAATATCTTATATTATATGTGTATAATAGGATAAAGAAGATGAAATTCGAACAGAACATTTGCTAGATGGGTTACCTATGTGGCTTGATAGGTTGTTCGAAGGCAGTACAACAAGATACCAAATAAATTATTGGCCAGACTTCAAGGTATAAAAATGAAAAATTATGAAAGAAGTATTCTCACAAAATTCAATTTTAAGTATTTTTACTAATTTGTATTAATATAATAAATGTTTTACCATATTCTAGTCTTAAAAGCATTCATTGTAATCTAATGGTAATAATGCTCGCTTGTATAAGTTTGTTTTAAGCTTATTGGTTGTTTTTACTTTCTTTATATTATATTTTATTGTGGTTTTCTCATTTTTTGTCAATTTTTTAAACCACCCTAAGAATCAAAATACTTTGACTTAATTTTTGTTTGTGACTATTTTAAAATTAAAAAATATTTCAAGTGTATTTGTCGACAACAACAGTCCTTTTATTTTCACAAAATACATAATAAAAAATTTATTATTAAGTAAAATGAGAAGATGTTTATTTCTTGAAACCACATCCACGCCTCCTACCACGAGCTCGTTCAAACTTGCGTCCCTTGGAGCGCACATATGGTTTAGTGTGGCTGTGGGGTACACCTGGAGCTGGACCAAAGTGTCTGCATGATTCACGTGATTTGCGTTTACCTAAACAATAATGATATGTTTGTTTATTATACAAATATATAATAATATAATGACAATTACAAAATAAGAATCAGCCAATTCAAATATTAAACCATAAAATATAAATATATATTATGTTTTACCATGAAAAATTATTATCATTGTTAAATCCAAAATAAGTTAACAATATAATTTAATTACATTAGGACACTAATGATGGGGGGAGGGGGGTTCAAATTTCACTGATTTACTGATGAGAATCACATTTTTAGCATTATCTATATCTGACTGTTTTTATATATTATGGGGTAAATTTGTCCAATATTTAACTCTAAAGCTTGTGATATTTTACTTTTGAATTTGAATTATCGAGTTTGGTAATTAAAATATCAAAAATTGGTTTTTAAACAGATAGATTAACTTATCTTCTACAATATTGATAATAGGTGTGTTAACTCTCAAACCACTCAATAAAACCATATTATTGGAAATACAAAAATATATGTTCATAAAATTTTTCAATACTATTCATACCCCTTAATCATATTTATTTTATAAAATACATCAAATCTTATTGTCAGTTGTTTATTGCAAAGGGTTCATATTATGTCAGTTGTCAGCTAAATGTGGTTTGGTAGTTATTTCCGTAATAAAATCAAGTGTATTAATGTGACAACATTTGCCTTTACAATGACAATAACTTGCTATTATTAAAGATAATTTAATTGATTCTCACTTAATTATTTTTGTAATAATTACAATAAAAACAAATATTTGTGGATAAAAAGACAAGTCCGTAGAACACCAATTTAATAACAAATTAAAATGTTAACATTTTTATTTAACAAATAATTTGCATTTAAGAACATTATGACAAGTGACTTCCTTCCAAGCAATAAGTTAATTAATAGTTTTAAATTCACGTGAACTAAACAACATACTAATTTTAATGAATATTACCCATGGCCAAAACTAGGGAAACTTTTCTGGGGGTGCTAGAATTGTATCAGCAACATAGACCCTGATAATTTATATATTAAACTAAAATTAAATTAAAAGACAGATGGGCCAGGCCTATCCACATAATTGCACCTATGAAAATGTGTCAATTACACTGTTTTCAGAATTCTAATAACAAACCTAAAGCTCAGTCAAACAAAGAGAGGTGTACAGGCACGCTGGCCACGGCGAGCAGGGGTCAGTTGTATTATTCACAGTGCCCATGCGGGCAGACCGCTTTCTGTTTGACTGAGCCCTTACCTAGCAAAATAACCTTTTAGTTGGGCGATATGAAACTAGATATACTTATTCTGTAGTTTATCATTTATTAGTTCATAATAGCCAATAAAGAAATAGTAAAATTTTTAGGTTATAAATAACAAGAAAATAAAAATTGTTAATTAAAATAACTTTCAAATAATACTGTTTGAGAATGAGTTATTCTTTCATAATAAATACTATAAATAAGTTATGGGTTTTAAATTCTATTACCACTTCTAGATTGTTCAGTACAAGTACCTAGCACTATTTAATGCTTTAAAATCATATTACAAACGTAAAATGCAATCTTCAATATTATTAATTAATAGTTACTGTAAACTCTCACCTTGCAATAAAACAGTATTCTTGCCAGTTGGTGCCTTCAACGCTAGTTGATCAAAAGTGAGGATTTCTCCACCGGCTTTTAAGATGCGAGCTCTGGCTCCTGAAGTCACACGCAATGCACAAACCTGTGAACAAAAAATAGTTACTATGAAAGCTTCCGATGGAAGGGTGCAAGTCGGCAGGGACTTACTGTAAGCTTGGGCACTTTGTACAACCTCTTGTCATCAACAACAGTGCCAACGATAACTGCAATACGCTTTTCATCGGCGATCTTGGTCATGTACTTAGAGATAGCGCTCAACGATATCGGCGGACGGTTAATACGAGACATGAACAGACGTCTCAATACAACTTTGTTGAAATGGGAACGGGTACGGCGAGCCAAGAAACGGTACAACTACAAGGCAGAGAACGATTAATAATACAATATCGTGTAAACGAACAGTGCGTTGTCCGCAACCCGTACTTACCTTGACCAACAGCAACAAATACACATCTTTGGACTTGGGTGCAGTCCGTTTGGCTTTATGCCCGCGCCTATGGTCGATGTCGATACCCTAAGGGACAAAATATTGATATTGAATATAGCAATAAAACCACCACAAACGTGGATCGGAACAGATGAAAAACTTACCATTCTGTATTTTCAGAGTCTCGTTCTGGTGATATTGACGTAAAGAGTTCAAGAAAGACACACGGCGTACGCGAGTGCCCGGATAAACAGTAGAGAGCAGTGTTGCCAACACTATCTGCACCATGTTTATCAGTCACTGTGATAACGTCCATGCGGGATACACTGTGTCCACAAGATGTACCTGTGATAAATATTATCTGTGATTTATTTGGCGCTAAATATTTTAAATATTATATTATTAAGCACGGACTAAGATAGATAGACCTCTAATCTTGGTCCGTGCTATTAGTCAGCTTATAATTTAATACAAAATAATGGAATAGAATACCTCGATTACAAGGTTTGACACGGACTGAAGATGGATCGGGTAGGGGGTCTGGGAAATTCAAAAAATCTAGCTGCCAAGGTAATTATTAAAACATAAACTTGTAACTATAATTACTAAGAAGTAATATCTGCGCTGAATCCAAGTACGCAGTGGCCAGGGAAACAACGTCAACCATCTAAACCATCCGCCTTATTCGAATGGGAGGGTGGACGGCTGGTATTGTAGTAAGTGTATTGTGAGCAATGGTGTAAACTATGTTATATTAAAATTAAAGTTTTATTTTAAGAGTATTTATAGTATTATATTAATTATGTTTATTTATTTATATTATACACTATACAGCAATAGTTAAAAATGTTTGTCTAGACATTCAAAATATTGATATTTTTCTAATATAGTTTAGAACTATTTACAAATATTAAAATATGAAATGTATTCCTTTCGTAGTTTGTACTTACTCATGGGACCTAGTCCATAGTAAATCAATCATTGAACAAACCTTTTAATCCAGAAACTAAACTCTATAAAAATAACTACAAACTATGAAAAACAGTTTGTATGGCCTTCTCTAATTTCTATAGTATACAATTACTCAAACTTCACTTTTCAAGAATTAATATTTTGTAATACTGATAATTATTCAGTTAACTCAACATACTCTAAAATAAATAGAGTCACTAAAGTAAGATATTTAGGTCTGACTTTCGATTATAATATGAGATGTGCAGATGGCATATTATTATACTAAACATTACAACGCGGTTAAGGGGCATCGATATGACATTGATTTAAGGAGAATCATTTAGGCAATTTCTAATCTTGTCGTCACCACCCGAGAACTATGATGTGTTAGTCGTAAATAATTATTAGTGTGTGGTAACGTCCATGCAGGTCAATTGTATAGGTATGGTCGTATGGAGACAAGAGACTCGCGACTACATTACACGTTACCCCAACATGCATTGTACGCATGCGCGCAGTCTTATCATGCGCAATGGTCTTATCATATTTAAATATGTATATGACATATATTTATTTATATTTTATTTATAGACATTATAAACACATATTATTATACTTGCTATAAGCATATTAAAATTTATTTGTTAATTATTAATTTATTATGCATCAGTGCAATATTTGTAATTTAATTTATGGAAGGCGTGACCATCTTTTGCGTCATCAAAAAATTAAACACAATGAATTCCAGTACAACTGTGATTTGTGTTCCTACGGCTGTAATAAAAAGTCTTGGTTAATTCGTCAATTCGAAAATACCCATAATTTTATGTCCAGTACCACTAGTATGTATCGCATTATTTATTTTTGCCAAAAACAGCCTACCTATATTTGAAAATTTCATTGTGTGTATAAAATAATAATATACTCTAAAAGTTTTATATTATATCCATGAATAATATTTTTAAATTACAATAAAATACCTCAAATCTTTATTATCTGTTTTAATATGTAATTCCGTCCAAATTTGAATTTAAAATGTCTGTAAAAATAACAGTGTGTGTATATATTTTTTGTATTTTTTAGTTACAGTCTGAGCTATATTAACTATATTAACTTACTGCTACAATATTATGTACTGTAAACATAATAATGAACTATTAAAAAAGATATTAATAAACATAATTTAATTATTCAGAAATATAATATAATATTATCAGTCAGGTTAACTAATAGTTTAAAATTGTATTTTATAATACCAGAGAAGAACACACCTATGCATCAATAACTAATAGCACTATAAATTAGAGAAATATAAAACCAAATTTGAACCATGTTAAATTTTTTGTAATATTTAATTAAGATACAGGAAAACTTTTTAGTTAATATGTACTATATTATTATAATAGTATTAGTCTCACTATAATAATTAATAGTTATTCAATTTGGTAGTTTTTTTATCTGTACTCTTATAAGTAAATTACAAGTGATGCTTGGTTATGCTCAGTCTACCCTTGAAGATAATATTCCCAATACTTTGAAGTATTTAGACAAAGCACTCACACACACATGTCAGTAGTATGTAATATTGTGATAATGAAAAAATGTTTATTTTTCACTCCAACATACGATTCTAATTCCAACAATATGTCGATACAATTACCTCGATTTGTTTTCTGCCAAAATATTCTATTTTCCACGACATGTACGAGCGATCGATCGATTTTAGATTCTGAGTGGAACCATGAATGTATTGATTTAACAATGATGGGTGTTTTTTTTTTTGTGTCTGTCATCACTGTTTAGGGCAGTAAAAGTGTAAAACTGCTTCGATTTTCTTCAACAGTATCTTGTTCGATGGGAAATTAAAATTCCCAATAGTTTTAAACAAAATCGGTTTTCCACAAAATTTTCTATACACGATACAATTTTCACTGGTAGTTTATATTTGCATTTTCTTTAAGCTATACAATTTTCAATTCATTTTGATTTGTTTTAACTGTTTAGGAATATTTCCAGTTTCCAATTATATTGTATTAGTATTATATTGTATTAGTCTTTCTATGCATGTCAATAAAACTTTATTTGTTGGGTAAAAAAGCTTGAAAATTTAAACAAGGCTCCTACTATATTGTTACAATAGCAGTTGAAAAATATTAAAAATTCTTAGTCACAATTTTTTTTTATAAGCATTTAAAGTTCAAATTTTGACAAAATACGGAAAAACCACGAAAATTAGCAAATTATTTTGAGTTGGGAATTCATTAAAATTTTTCTTTTTAAATGTAAGATTTGGAAATGTAATACAAGATTACTCATAAGTTTATCTACCTTTATCAAAGAAAAATGTCTACAAGTAAATCTGATTAAATTTTTATGATCGTTTGAAGTTCATATTTTTACAATATTGGATATTCACTCGATTTCTCATGTAGCGGTTTTGACGGTTTTGTTATTTTATTGTTATTCAAAAACGAATAACTGTAGATACTTACATGAAAATTTTACTGAATATTTATATTTTCATTTTGTATACACCATACAAATTTGAAAATATTTTGAGCTGTTTACGAACATTGTCAGTTTTCAATTTTCTTAGTTTTTTTTTCTACAAATATAAATACAATTTTATTTGTTGAGTAAAAAAGAGTGAAAATTTAATTCAAGGCTCCTGATATATTGTTACAATAGCAGTTGAAAAATATTAAAAATACATAGCCACCATTTTTTTTTATAAGCATTTAAATTTCGAATTTCGACAAAATTTATCAAATTTAAATTTTAATAATTATTTTTAGTTAAACATTTATAAAATGGTCAACTTTTATATATAATTTACTTTATTCACAATAATACCATCAAATATACTTACTAATATCAATAGGCTGACTGACCGTTTACGCTCACAATCGTGTTTCTTATACAATATGATATCGATATAATATCATTGAATTCATATTTAACACCATCCATTACACATTACAGTGATCCACTTGCAGCAGAGTGACACCCACTTCCCAACCTTTTTAAAATTGTATTTAGTTAATTAGGTATATATTTAAGTTGGAAATTCTGAATTTTTTTTGAATATTTTACTATATTTATTACAATTTAAATTACAAAAAATAAAATGTGGCTCGATCGTTCCCTTGAATATATTACGGACAATCCGAATATTTTTTCAGAATGAAAATCGTGATAATTGTCAACACGTACCTATCGTTGGAATAAGAAACAGTAGTTTTTGACAAAAAATGACGTGTTGGTGAGGCGGACAATTATATTCAAACTTTATAGTATACGAAATTGTATCTCTAACGATATCACGAGAATAGTATACATGTCTCTTTATCAATAGATTTGCAAATATTTAAATATGGAATAATAGTATGGGGTGGAGGGGCCGGGTGGTTGGGGTACTACTGAGAATATATCAAGACCATTAATTAGCAAAATAAAGTCATTCGTATCTTCGATCTTCCTAAATAAAAAAAAAAAAAGGTGGGTAAGTGGATGTCGCTCTGCTGTACAGTAGGTTGCAAGTGGGTCACTGTATAATGGATGCTTTTAAATTTGAATTCAATGATACAATATCATTGTATAAGAAAAACGATTCTGAGCGAAGACGGTTTGTCGGTCTGGATATTTTATAATATCTTTATATTGTTATTACTTATTAGTTATTATTATAATACGGTAAGTTGAATTAATATTATAAAATTACAAAAAAATAACTAAAACCGTTATTTTTGGTTATTTAATGTGTAATTTCCTCCAATTTTTAATAGATAATAACTAAAAAACCGTGATTTATATTTTTGAGATTTTTTGGTTACAGAAGAACCTACTTACGCGGAACCTTGTCGTAAGTTTTCAATCCTTAGCTCTAAAAGTTGAACATTTTATAAATTTTCAACTACAAAATCATTCATAAATTTTTTTGGCAATATGCAATTTGCGGCGCCGCTCGTGTCATTTATGTCAGTCGTCAATGACAATACTTTCAACTTTGGGTTTTATTTTTACACAATCAGATAAGTTCTTCTAATTTAAATTCTTGAGATTTAAATATTTTCATCCGTAAAGAAATAACTTATAAGTAATAACAATATAAATGCTTTTTTAGGACTTTGGAAATGGTTTTACCAATGCTCCAGATGAAGATATAAAAAGCCACCTAAAGAATACTGATAATATCCTTACCTTTAAAACATTT